GGTCAACCCAGTCATTTGAGGAAACTTTACTTTGAAGCAATATAAAAACTAGAAAGCATAACTTCCTCAATGGTAAATGGACTCACTGCACTTATAAAGCACCTTTCTACCTTATCAAGATACTCAAAGTGCTTCACACTACAATCTGTGCTGGTGGAACCAAACCACCAACTTTCCCATTGGAGGATGACTGTTCTAAGCACTCAGCCACAGCTGCCCCATTTTTATATACAGTACATGGTGGTAGTGGCCATCTTAGATTTAGACATGGCAACTCAATTTTCGAAAGGAAACTTCCTTATGCCTAGATGCCGCCACACACCAAAATAAAGTTGGTTCCTCACTTGATGTCAAGTTTCTAAACATCTTGCTCACGACACGGACAGACAGATGGAGTGTATTTCCAATTCCCCCTCTTTGCTCCATGACGAGGGACCACAACCATCTGATTCTGTCAAGGAATGCTAAACCTTTAATATGTATAAATACTTGATGCTGGCAGTTCAGTGGGAAGTTAGAAACAAGCCGTGTGGTGCATTTCTACTCTTAAGCCTCAAGCTCCTTCCTACCTTCTGCTTTACAGACAGAAACCGTGTACTTAAAATGAGCTGGATGTCTTAATTAATAAATAAAGCAAAGTTAAATAGAAAAAATAAAGATAAATACAACTTTTAAATAAATAAATACAACTCAAGAGAGCGTAAAAAAAAGGAAGCATGGCATGTAATTTCAGTAAAAGTCTGTAATTGTGTTTTCTGTATTCTGTCTGTTCTAGTTTGATGAAGCCACCAAGGATCAGGAGACTCAACATATGACATGTGAACATTTTCTTTGCCTTCAGGCGGAGATGACGGTGGAGCCATGTTGGTGACTATGTCTTTGTGTTTGTTTGTCTGAACCATTACACAACATTTCATACATGACTGAACAAATTTTAATAAAACTCTCAGGAAGTACCGGTAGTCACTGGTTGTACAACCTTCGAAGTCAATGCTATCCAAGATGGCTGACACAGCAGAACAGTCTTAGCAAACATCTATCCTTTATCTTTTGCCCGCTCTCACTGGTGCCCATGTCCAGCTATCACTGTGTGAGAGGTTGAGAACACCCTGGACAGGTCTCCAGTCCATCACAGGGACACATAGAGACAAACAAGACAAACAACCATTCACTATCAAACCAAGGGACGAGTCAGAGTTACCAATCAGCCTAACGTGCATGTTTTTGGTCTGTGGGAAGAAACCCACACATGCACAAAGAGAAAATGGAAACTCCACCCAGAATGGCCCAATTTGATCCAGCCACCTTCTTGCAGAGAGGCAGCTCTACCAACTGTGGCACCGTGCCGCCTTAACAAACATATAAATGGATATAACTCGGTGAAATTTACAGATTTTCAGCTACAATTTGGAGCAGAAGTTGTTGAGAATCATCCCCAACACAAACTCTGAGCACTAACAAGATTAAACAAAATGTCTCAATACTGCATGAGATGCAATGAGACTGAGCATTACATGGGGCGGCTGTGGTTGAGTGGTTAGAGCAGTCGTCCTCCAATGCAAGAGTTGGGGGTTCGAATACACCAGCAGTCACATGCCGAAGTGTCCCTGGGCAAGACACTGAACCCCTCATTGCCTCCGATTTGTGTCCCATCAGTGTATGGATGTGATAAAGCTCTGATTATTCTTTGTAGCTATCTAGTAGAGTGCTGTATGAATGGGTCAATGAGGACACAGATTGTGTTGTAAAGAGCTTTGAGTGTCTTGATGAGATAGAAAGGTGATATATAAATACAGTCCATTTACCAAAACAACTACAGCTGATGTCAGTCGCTGATAAGAACTTGGTGAAATTAGATTTTGAATTGTACTCATGGATTCTGGTCCAGTCAAATAAAAAATAAATTAAAAAAAGATGCTGTGGTGGAAAACTCTCGACCGAAAGAATCTTTTTTTTTTTTACATCATTATCTGTGCAGGAAAAGTGAGTGAGCGTCCAGATTTGGTCGGTATCTTTTTATCTCTGCAAACATTGTGTCAACTGTCACAGCAGTGGAACAACAGCTGTTCGCCCCTTCTTCCTCCACTCTTTTTCAAAAAACGTAAAGGGGGGAGGCTTCTCTTCCTCCTCCACCCCCTCCTCCTCCCCTCACCACTGCCCGGCTGGCTGCCTCCCTAATAAGTAAGAGGACTGGGGGGGTTGTTGGCAGTGGCCTGGAGGTTTGACATTGCCTCAGTGTGGGTGGTGATGAAACAGAGTCGAGTCAACTTGGCTCCTTCTTTCAGTTTTATGCTGCACATCCACCCCCGATGGACAGACACGCGCATTACTCACGAGCAGAGGGGGCAGAATCTGCATTTAAAGCTGATCTGTGTTCAAACTCAGGAGCACATGCGTGCATTCAGCAGGTGAGAAGCTGTGCACCGTCTGACAGATACTCTCCACACATGTATGTTTATTTTTAGGGACTGGGACTAAACTTTATCACCTGTTGCTGAAAGGTGGGGTGAGTGTTAATATGTTGGTGGGTGTGTGTAGGTTTGTCCGTCTGTTGGCAACATATCTCCTAAACCAAAGAATGGATTTTAACTTAAGTCTCTGAAAGCAATCACTGGAATCACATCCAGCACTGATTAACTTTTGGGCTCAGCTCGATTCAATGGTCACCACAGAGTGTCATGTTTAACACACTCAAAAATGACTCTACCTCAGTCAGTTGTTCAAATATGGAGCTAATGTTTGGTGTAGCTGAGAGTCACCTCCGACCCATAATCTGAGCAGAATCTAATGTGTTTGTTCACAGGCAAAATGTCTAATGAACACGAGGACTACGTTTTATGCACGTTCATCTACAGCTGATTAACTTTCGGAGTCAACACTATTCAAGATGGCCGCCACAGCTAAGCAACATTAGCAAACACAAAGGTCCATACTTCAACCAGTTTGAGATCTGTTGAGCTAAAATTAGGTGCCGCTGCAGGTGTGAGTCATCCCCCACACATCTCTAACAGATCGCACAAACTTTTATTTCAAACTTGGGCTGGAATCATCTCTGTTAGCAAAATATCTCATGAACCCTTTGGACAGATTTGAATGAAACTCTCAGAAAGTAATCATTGTATGTAAATAAAACTCATGACCTTTAGGAGACAACTCACTCAAGATGTCACAACCAGTTGAACTTAGAAAACACAAAAAGAATGTATCACAGTCACTTTCGCAATTGCTGAGCTAAAAGTAGGCGTGGTAGTAGCTGAGAGTCATCCCAAAAACATAGTCTTAGTAGATCTCACAAGTTTCCATGAGTTGGCACAACATTTATAAAGTTGGAGCAAAACAGCTTTAACTCTGCGTCAAATGATCTCAGTGCAGGGGTCTGCAAGCTGCGGCTCTGGGGCCACATGTGGCTCTTTGGTCCCGCTGCAGCGGCCCTGTCAGGCTTTGACCCAAACTTAAATAAAACTGAATTTTATTTCAATTGTTGCCAACAATGAAAATGTCTAGTTTCAGCAGATGTCTTGTCATTTTCAGACATGTGAAGGTAGTACAAATACACGGTGTAAAACATGTGGTCTACATCATGCTAGTAGTTTGTTAGTCACTTTAAGTCGACTTCCAGTCTCTCAGCTGATCGTTCTCTCCAAACCAGCAGAATGTTTAGAAATATCTTTAAGACAAGCTGCTGAGAAGGAATATGGTAACTTTGATAAGACTAAGTATAAAATACAAAAAACTAAGTCAAAGTAAACAAAAGTATTTATTTTTCTTTAAAAATGTAATATAATTTTATTCTGTCTTTAACTTTACGCTTTACTTAATTCTTCCACAATTAAGAGAACTCACATCAGCCTGCAGAATTCAATGTTTTAATTTTATAACATTATTAAATATATATATATTTTTAATTTCTCTACATGAATCTGCTCTTTTCTTTTTTATTAAAATGTAAAAATATCAATAAATGTTAATAATAGTTAGACATTTTTTCGTTTTATAATATCACCCCCACTGGTTGGAAAAGCCATCTCCAACAAACTGGTCCAGGGGCCACCAGTTGACAGTTGGAGCAGGTTTTGTGGCTCTGAACATCATAATTAATAAGCAAAGAGGCAAAAACTGCTCTTTTTATCACAAAGGTTGCAGACCGCCTGGTTTAGTGTAAACCACAGGCGGGTGATATGCATTCATTTAACTGATGCACAACTTTTACTTTTTTAGTTACGGGAAGCAGGATATGTGTTGGTAAACAAGAGTTTTAGACCATTGATGTTGTTTTTTAGTCTGGTTTAATCATTTGAATGTGGGGACCAGCAACAGCTGCCGTGACTGATCCTGACAGGAACTGAGTTTCAGCATCAAGGAGCAAGAAGGGAGAGGAGTCGCACCTCTGCGTGATGAGTCTAGTTTAAAAATAAAAACTACAAACAAGCATCATTTCAAGGAACATGATTAAATCCCAACTTTAATAATAAAATCAGAGAGCCAGCGGTCACGTGAGCAGCCACAGCAAGGACTCTGACCCGGAGTGAATACCAAGCAGCCCACCTTCCACCTGCTCACTCCTGCAGACCCAGAACCACCAGTCCCCGAGCTGGTTCTGGCCTCACGCACAAACCTCACGCACTTTACAAGTCGCTCATCCTTATCTCTGGACTCCTGCTTCTGATTCCGCCCCCCAACACCTCACAGGGAATCTGCAGTGTGTGCACTTGCAGCTCAACAATCCACTAAGCAAAGCAGATCACGTATAGGCTATTAAGGAGAAGGAGGAGAAGGAGGAGAAGGAGGAGAAGGAGGAGGCTACCGCAAGAAGACTTAGAGCCCGCATTGAGCGTAAAAACCGCCGAAATGCGCCTTTTTTTTTATTTTCTTTTTTTTTTTTAATAAGAAAAAGTGGTCTTCTCTTTTGCGCACGTCTGTAACATTACAGCTTTGGATCCCAACTCTCACACGCGCGCGCGCACACACACACACGCAGGATTGCTGCAGTGGCCCGTTACCTTTCACACAAGTGAGCATCAGTGAAAAGAAGAGATTCCAGAAAACCATCCCCGTCCTGATCCGCATCGTGCCGCCGCGCGCCGAGTCCCCGCGCCCGCATTGAACGCATCTCCTGTTGAAAGCGTCCCGCAGCTCCACGCATCCGTCGTGGCGTCCGTCCCTGCGTGATAAAATCCTCTCCATCGCGCTCTCGGCAGCAGCTTGAACAGCCTGGGCTTTTTTTTTTTTTTTTTTTTGGAGGGGGGGTCGGGTTCTGTCTGTCGGAGGGATGGATGAAGGGAGGGTGGGGGGGTGGGGGGGAGGTTGGAGTGGGGTCTCAGAGGAGAAGCAGACAGAGGAGCCGAGCCGCCCCGCCGCGCGGTGTCAGCTGATGGGAGAGGAGGAGAAGTGCGCGAGACTGGGTCTGGTGATGAGAGGAGCGCAGGAGCGAGCTGGACCAGAGCTCAACCATCTCTACTGAGGGGGGCATGAAGTGTGAGGAGAGGATCTAACATCTCCCCCCGCCCCCCCTTCTCCTTCTTCTTTCCGTTTCTTTTAAATTCCTTGTAAAGCAGCTGAGGAGCGGAGAGGAGTCCAGAGAGGAGTCCAGAGAGGAGTCCAGAGAGGAGTCCAGGGAGGAGTCCAGAGAGGAGTCCAGGGAGGAGTCCAGAGAGGAGTCCAGAGAGGAGTCCAGGGAGGAGTCCAGAGAGGAGTCCAGGGAGGAGTCCAGAGAGGAGTCCAG